GCCGCCGGCGCTCTCCTCCTGCTCCTGGTTCTCGTCGTGGTACCCCTGCTGCTCCTCGATGGTGGCAAAGCTGTCCTCGCCAGCCGCGCGAAGAGCGGCCTTCTCCGCCGGGGACATGTGAGGGTCGCCAACGCCGCCGATGCTGCTGCCGACGGGGTAGCTACACGACTGGGCGGCGGCGCTGCTGCTGCTACGTTTACCCTTCATGCGGCGTCGGCTCCTGCTTCTGTCCTTCTTCGTGAGGATGTGGCGCTGGCCCCTCGGCCTCCCGGCTGGCGCGTCAGCGTCAGACCGGGCGGGAGCTTGCGGCGGGGACGCGACGAGAGCGTGGTAAGGAGGGGGCTGGATGTCATCCTGGCGGCGGCGAGAGCCGCCGCCGCCGCCCCCGCCCCCGCCGTCGGCGTACCAGCCTCCCCCTGTGCTGCCGCCGCTGTTGCTGCGCTGCGTGCTCGGGGAGCCCGAGCCCGCCTCCTCCTCCCCTCCCGCCTTGACGTTGTTCTTGTCCCCTCCCTTGACCTTGGCGTTGTTGTTCACGTGGCGAGGCTGCGTGGGTGACGGAGACAGGGAGCCCGGGGGCACCGGGGAGGCGGACCCCGAAGACAGAGACGCTTCGCCGGTGCCGCTGGAGAAGAAGCTGGACTGGCTCGACGGGCTGCCGTCGTCGTCCTTCTTCCCGCCGCCGTTTTGTTTCTCCTGGCCCACTGCTTGCAGCTTCCCGTTGCTGCTGCCCTTGCCGTCGTTAGCGTTCTTGTCGTCGCCTGCGCCGGCACCTTTGATTGACCTGTTTCGGCGGCGTGTACAACGCGGTTATGGGTTTGTTTGTTTATTTGTGCCTCGTTCGGCTTACAGGATTACCACTGGTTATGATTTTTTGCGTCTCGTAGTCTTGAGCCAGGTCAGGAGTGCATGGACGAGAGCGCACACAGCCGATCATTCCCGCACGATTCAGCGTCCTCGTTGCACGGTGGGGGAGGAGACCGACACTAGAGCGACCCATTGGATGCCACCACGGACCAAAAATTTCATGTTGTACTACTGGGGCGGGTGAGCTAGATAGGTAGCGCGCGGCTCCTCACACTTTATTAGAAATAAAAATGATCGAACCCCGTTGTTCATATCCCGACTCACATGATGTGTTCGGGTACACAGCCAATGACGCTATTACCCGACTTAACATAATGATCTCTCGAGTGACACCAGCGAGATCTGCCACGGCTGTATCCGTTGCTTGCGCTCATGTGGTGGTAGCCCGACTTGCTGTGTTAGACTATACAGCACTAGTGCACTTGCGTGCAGGTCAGGGATTTGCGTGTGCAGAATCGGAGGTGAAGAGTAGCCGAACACGTACGATTGCCGAGCAGCTCGTGGTTGGAAGTGTCGGAATAGAGCTCATAGATTTGGTATCTATTTTTTTACTTTCGTCCCGACACCTGGGTTTTGATCCCTTTCCTCCGCCACGTAGACCCCTGGTCAGGGAGTTTTCTCCACAGTTGAACACGTATGCGCATCATACAAACGTTGCAGGATCTCAAGCAAATTTTCGTCTTTGTCCAACGGAATATTATCCCGAAGCGGACAACGATAATACCCCGAGAGGCAGTGGTGGACTGCAACATGGCCAAAATATAAAATATGCATCATTCGTTGTGACACATGTTCCTACCTACAACAGCGTCTTATTGTGGCAGCAGCAGTAACTACCACCAATGAAGATCTCACATGGTCAACCCCAAAGAGCCTTTGATTTGCAGCGACACCGAAGGAGGAAAAAAAGAAGCGGCAACAAATGGTACACATCACCGTGGGGACTGAGGCGAGATAGCTCGAGATGCGGTATCTCACGTGGCAACTCATCCGGTGTCGGAGACGATTTCGGGTGAAAGGGAGGGAGGGTGCAGTCCGTCGATGGGAGGAAGGGCACTAAAAAATAATGGTGGTGATACAACCTACCGGTACATACAGCCCCCCCAGTACCGCTACAGCTACACTCCAAGGCGGCATACATGGAACGCCCAATGGATGGCTTGGAAGGACCCGCCGTGTCGCGGAGGCGCTGAAGGACTTGTGTTGGGCGTCACGGTAAGGGTGTGTGTGTGGCAACGAAGGGTGTGTGGGGGGGCTTGTGTATATTCTGTTCTGCCTGGCGTCATGTGCAACACCTTTTTGGGAGCAGGAACAACCATGAAGTGGCGGTTGAGATGTGAGAGGTAAGGGAGGACCCCGAAGAAATTTGCAAAGAAAGTTGGTGTGTACGGAAAACCGACCCCCGATTTCAAATGGTTGTTCCCCCATCGCATCGCAGGTATCGCAATGCCACAGGGGGTGTGACAGGTGTCACACGTACCGAGCGGCGGGTACGGAGGAGCAGGTTGTCGTGGGTGATGCTGCTCACCACATCTGTTGGCTGTTGTGGGCAGCAGGAAGGATACAAAAAAATGCTGGAACATGATCGCCCCGAGAACAAAAACGTAAGCAACGTGTTTGTGGGTGCTGCTGTGTGTGTACATAAGGTGCATTGCTTCGCGCGGTTTATGCCTCGCGGCCCTCTCTCGCTCGCTTCCTCACTCTCCTTTTCTCTTCTCTCTCACCGCTTGCTTTTCCCTCGAACGAGAGACCTCAGGGACCCCAACATGGTGCACCACCGCTGTTGGTCGTCGTGGAAGGTCGAAGGGTCTGTCTGCCGCTTGGTACGTAGAAGCTGCTGCTCGGGTGTGTCGCTTCTTGTCAGGCTGGTGTCGCCTCTCAGGTTGCCCTTCACCAAGCCGGCTGCTGCTGCGGCCGACCTTACTCTTCCTGCTCCCGACGCACACACGTCACAGGGAGGCAATACGGCGGTGGTGCGACCCTGTGGAGCTGGAAGCTGCTCCACGCTACAGCTTGCTGTAGTTCGTCGTATGTGAGAAGGCCGGAGATGGCGCAGATGGATGGGAGATTCTCCGCGTGGGCACTGGCTACGGTTTGCCACGCGGCTCGGAAGCAGAGAGAGGACGAGATGCCGGTCCTACGCCTGGTGCTGTTCTGCTGCGCAATCGCTCTTCGATTGTCAACAAGAGCAAGACAAGAGAGGGAAGTGGCGATGAGAGCTAGGTGTGCGGCAGCAGTGTGAGAGGCCAGACGACCCTACAACAACATCAATAAAAACATCAACTTGACACACAATTTTTTGTTGTTTGGTGGTTGTGTAGGACCCCGAGACCCCAGCTTGTCCGGTTCTTTCACTAATTATGCCGCATATATATTGCTGTTGATGTACGGAGCCCCTCCCTCCCGAGCATGAAGTAGTTATGGTACGTAGTTTTCGGAGAGATCCATGTCTCGTGTGTGCTGAGATCTTGTTAGGGAGGGAGAGGAACCATGAACTACAGTAGTTCTGCCCCCACCGTTTCATTGCTGTGTCACCACCTACAGGAAAAGCAGTGGTGGGAGAGACACAGCAGTGCAGCGGGATTCCGGAGCCAACAATTTTTAGCAAATGAATCCCAAAACACACGCACAACGAAGCCGTACAACACCTACCTGCTGCGTTGTTTCCTCCAAGCAAGCCCTTTTTCTCGCTCGGGGCTCGAAAACCGTCGCTGCCCTGCTCTCATCGACCTGAAACGAGCAACATATCTGCCAGCAGAACGTCCACAAGTGTAGCCCCTGAACGACCAAGCCCTATGCACAGCAGTCTATGTACCGCACCAAGCAAAATAGCGTGAGGGAGGCGGCGGAGAGATGGCACCAGGTGCAATCGTCTTTCGTAAATGTTTGCAACCCGGTGCGACGTCTCCGACACGTGCCATCTCACCGACCCCAGTGCGGGACCAGCATTCAACCATCTCTTCCTATGTAGCTGTATCAAGGCGCCCCGGTGCTATCTCTCCGACCGGTGCGATGCCCATTTACATACACACAGCAGCTTGATGCTGCGGCGGTGCTATAAACATGCACCCGGTGCGACATCCCCGACAGCAAGCGATAATATTTTGGAGTATTGCTCGCTTATATCCTCACCACGCGTCAAGGGTACCCACATGTTCCTCCTCACAAGCAGCTCAAAGAGTGGCCCCCACCTGCGAAAACCTCAATCTTGGATTTTTGGTCGGCGAGATGGTACCTGGGGTGCGATCGCATTGACCCGTGTGCGGAAATCGAAACAAGGACATGTGACTCACTGTGTTTTGCGTACCTCGCCTGGTGCCACCATCTCTCCGCCTCTCACGGTATTGTAAGCCGATCACCAACCCTTGACACTATTGCTTTGTCTGTCTGTCTTTTCTTCAACGGGCGTTCAAGATACAGCAAGAAGACGCGTAAGCATCAAAACACTCGAACAGCAGTGAAATCCCCGCACCGCAGTTGACAACACCAGGGTAAAGTTTGTCGCGAGGCTTCAAGTACCTCGAAACACAACAACATAAACCCGACCCAACACTGGCACCCGTATGTAGTAGCTGTTGCCAAACCAAACCAACATGAACGAATAACTCCAGGGTTGCGCAAAACAGGAGGTTCAATTAAGCTGTGCGCTGGTTTGAGACACCTCAACCTCAGACTTTCTCCTAGAAAAAAATGGGGTCGCGGGAGTCTCACGGGAAGACGCGACCGCGTTCCATGTTCACGCCCCGAAGGAATGTCAGAAATGCTACCACATACCAAGCACGACTCCTTTGTGCAACCAACCGCAGAACATGAAAGATACCACGGCAACGTGTCCAATACCAGGACGGGCTCTCGAGAAGTTTAGTGCGACATCGGATCCTGGGTCTTTGTCGCAAAGATCGATGCCAGCGCTGTTGGGGCCCAACATGCACAGAGTCGCCACTACTTGTCTTCCTCAAGGCTGTCGAGCTCGTCCAAGAGCCTTGTCGCTTTCTCGATCATCCACTGCATGTGTCGAGCGGAGCGGTTGATCAGGCTCATACCTGGGTCAAGGTCGGCATAAAAGCAGAGTCCGGCGGGTCGGGGGTAAACACATGAAACACTCTTACGCCAGACCTTGTGCTAGCAACTCGGTGTGCTCGTTCTGCTAGGTGAGGACCGGGATTGAACCAAGTGCCAAAAAGACAGGCGACAGTCGCTAGGTACAGTTGCTGTAGCGTTCCTTTGGTATGCTCTACATTCACACGCCGAACTTACCGGGTCCCGAGGAGCGGTTTCTGTCCATCTTCTCTGGCGTCAGCCCCTTCCACAGTGTGCTGACCACGCACCTGAGTGTTATTGTGCCAGCAAGGCAGTGAAACAGAGAGCGGGGACGCCACGTGATGATGATGAATGGCAGATATGCTCGTGCAGAATAAGGAGACAAGTGCGATGCGCCGGGAGAAAGGGACACCAGCGGGCGCACCAACAACAGCGACGCGTAGAATACTTGCCTTTCTCCGGCTCCCAACTTCCACACGTTCACAATCTATCCCGCTTCCTCTGTCTCTTTTGGGAGCCTTTCCCAAGAGTCCGCAAAAACTTCCTCCGATATTGAAGAGCGGCGACACCGCCAGACATTAGTAACCACTTCCCCCCCCGCGTGCAACCTTTCTCAGCCTCCCTTCTCTCGCCTTATGTAGTCTAAATGCCTATGAGTACACCCCCGCGTATGCTGCCCTTCTCAGCCCCTCTTCTCTCACCTCATGTAGTCGAGAAACGCAACCCGATAGTCGTCCGCGAATTGCCCCGACGGATACCAGGCACCATCGCTACCTCCCCCTCCCTCCGGCGCCGACGGCTTGCCGAAGCGCGCCTCTAAGCCCCGGGACAACTCGGCGTGGTAGTGGTCGAGCAGTTCTCGCTCCCTCGACAAGAGCGATGGTTCCAGGCTGGTGCAGATTACGTAAGCGGCGTCCGTTGCTGCTAGCCCTTCCCCGCACCACTGCGTCAGCGGAATCACCAGGCAAAAATGATTTGCAACGTTCCGAGGATGCTGTAGGTCAATGCTGGTATTGAGATCAAAGCCATTCCGGCAAAAGAATGACAGTCCAGTAGGATGTGATGCAACTCATTGCTGGCGCATTGTGTGGAGCACAAATTCTTCCGGGGAAGAAACAAGGCCAAGGGGGGGGGGGGGGGGGGTGTACTCATAGTCGTGCATGCCGTAGTCGTTAGACCATTGACCTCGCATCCCTACAAAGCCGGGACGGAGCATGCCGGGTTCTCACCGGACCAGGCTCTCACATCACCAAGCGAGAAGCACCGCGAGGTATTCGGCGAGTCGCATGAAGGGTGAGCTGCATCCTGCTAAGGGTGTTAGGCATCTTGCGCTTACTTCCTTGCGTACGGATGACAGCTGCGTATGACTGAATTTATTTTCTGGCGCTTTCACTTCCAGAGACAGTTATAAGTACTGTGTAGCTGCCTCGAGGATGCTTGACCAATTTAACACAACGTGGTGCGATCATCCCCCATGCGCGGAGTGAGGTTTCTCCACCCCGCACAACATGATCTACTCGACCACCATTATGGTTACCGCCAAAAAAAAAAACAGAGGTAAAAAAAACCCGGTAACCTGGTTGCCGAGTTCACGAAGTGAATTGGCTTGTTTTACAACGTCGTTGCCAAGCGACGAAAACCCAACCCCGATGGCAAACACCGGGGGGCTTGGACAGGGGTACGTTCTAGAGCAGCATCGGAGGCCTTTCCAAAACAACTGCCGGATCTGAGGCCACACTCACAACAGGATGGCATTGGGGTGGTATCAACCATGATCTACGTTGATGATCATATCCTGGAGAGATGCTCGTTCAAAGCAGGCAGATTTTCCGCTCCAAGGGCCCTAAGAGTAACCACGCCCACCACGCCTGACGTGACAGTCAGTCTTCCCCTTGATGGTTACACTTTGGAAGGTTTTCTGCTGGTAACGCATCCGTGCCAAAGAAAGCACGCTCTGTGTACCAATACAACTGTCAAGCCCACCCTCTCAAAAACAAACGGATTCCATGCGAAAAAAAAAACAGTACGAAAATACCTCGTTCGTCACCACCCCGACCTCCAACACGAACCACACCTGCCAATCAATAATCTTCACTTTTCCTCCGGCAGCAGCAGCCGGCCCTTGAGCATCAACCCCTCCACCGTCTCTAGCTGCGGCGCCTTCCCCTTGCTCTCCAGCCTCTGCCCAGCCTCCCGTCTTGAAGAAAACGTTCCAGGTCTTCAAATCCCCATGGACCAGGCTCCTGCCCCTCTTTCCGCCGCCTGAGGATGCCAAAACACCATCTCCGTTCGCATGCACGGCCGCATCGAGGCTCAACGCTCGCGCCGCCAAACGGCGACCAAGATGTCGTTCATCTGCCCCAGCGCACACTCCGGGATGCCGGGCGGCATCACCGACTGCGTCTCCCCCTTGGTGCGGAGACTCGAACCACGCCGCGGGCAGCAGCGGGCGGAAATTTCCCAGAAGTTTCTGGTACTCCTCTTCCAGCCCCGCGAGGTCTCCCGCGTCCCTCTTCTCGAGGGACCAGAACGTGCCCTGCTTGTGGAGTCCCCGAGCGTACCGCCCTCCGCCGTCGCAATGGTGGTGGCCGGGACCCAGGTCCGGGTGTCGCTGCTGCTCCCGCCCGTGGTCCTCCTGGCGCTTGGGGCTCTGCGGCTGGGAGTGACGACGGGGTTCCCAACCCGCCGCCGCCGCCGGGGGTTCTGGCCAGAAGGAGGCGTGCAGGTGGGCAGCGGCGGAGAGGACGGCCTTCGCCCGTCCGAGGTCCAAAGCTCCGACCTTTTCAAGGGCATGGGTAGGTCATGTTTCGCATGCCTTAGTTGTTAGACCAATGGCCAAGGGGGGGGTGGGATAGGTTGGAACTCACCTTTAGTTGAGGCCATTGGCCGGCGGTATTCCTTAGGGGCACCGTACGTACTCCGAACAGGGATATCACCAATATGTTGATGGCAGCTTGTCGTTGGGGAGGAGTAGACTTACACAACTGGTCCCATAGCATTTCAAGGGGGACAGCAGGGAAAGGAAACAACATGGAGCACTCGACACGATGTACAGGCCAAGCGAGGTGGGGGGAGAGCTTTCATATTACTCGAAGGCTGTGGTGTTGCATCGCTATTCCGCTGGATCAACCTTGTCTTCTGCCTCCCTGATTGATCCGAAGAACACCACCAGCAACAAGACAGACCGAAGAGAGCGCACCATTCTGCCGGCACCCTAAGAAAAAACAAAAACAAAAACACAAGACAATTTCCCCACCGCTCACCTGTTCCCAGTCTGCCTTCTTCGGCCCACGGTTTTCCGCGTCCGCCTCTGGGTCATTCTCGCCGCATCCGGGATGGGATACCGTCCCAAGATCCTCTTTTGTAGCAACACAAAGGCGAGCACCGTCCACGACAAATGAATTCTGTGTTTGGCACCGGCGTTTGTAAATACAACATGCCCAATGTAAGTCGGCATCCTGTGTTCGAAATCACACCAATATTTCCCAGGGCACAAACAACGCGTGAGTAATATAGGGAAGGCGGTTGCGACGAAAGAGGCTTTGTGGCTACCCACAATTCAAGGGGGCGGTTGCGACGAAAGAGGGGGTTTGCCATGAAACCTACATAGCATCGCCCAAGCAGTAGACAGAAAGAAGTGGACCGACACTTGTCACTACCCCTGCGTGGCCTTGGTAGCTAAAAAAAAGTAGCGCGTGTGAATTGGGAGAAAATACAGCAAGCCTTACTGAAACCTCATCCCCACACCGCATCATATCACCTCGTTTGCGTCGCGGAAAAATGTAACTCACCTTTCGAATACCCGCTGATATTCCTTGACATGAAGGACGCTACAAAGCTCACCATACTGCCACGTTTTCTGCGATGTCTCCCACTAGTGATCGCCAATGAGCACGACCGCCACTTGCAAATTCTACAAGGCCTTTTAGCAATCGACCTCGCTTTGCTGTTCAGCCCCGCAAAACATCTTGCAACCTAAACGCAGTGCTACCCAATGCCCAGAATGATTTCGTTTCTCGTACCGCCCCCCTGTTCTTGTCGCCCAGTCACCACAATAGGTAACATGACACAAGATATCACACTCCCTGGACTCGTTTTCAAAGCTCGACTTGTCCACCGCGTCAAGCGTGGGTTCCGAAAAAAGGCTGCTTGGGAACCATTTCGTGGAGAGATTTCCGAAAACGCGTTTGTCCTTTAGATTATTCGTCTTATCGTCGTGGGGCAGCCGAGCTCTGAAAGTCGTCTCATCGTCGTGGGGCAGTCGAGTTCTAAGTCGGTCCCCAGAGGGTGTGATGTCTTGCGTCACCTACGGTACATTCACCGCCCGCCCAACTCTTGACCTACCATACAGCAAAGAGTACGTCATTCACCGCCAACACCCACCCACCGGTAATCATCATGAAGCAAGACTCTCGCAGCGCTTCCACCACAGCAGCATCCGCCTCCGTGTCCCCGGTGCCGGCGGCGGCGGCGGCGGTGCCGGTCTCCTCTCCCCCCCCGAGGCGGTCGTCGACGTACACCCAGAAGGCGTGCGGGACGATGGCGTCGAGCGCCGCGGAGCCGGCGACGGTCTTGAAGAACGTCGCTTCCGCGCGGTACGAGGCGATGCTAGTCCTGCGGCGGGTGTATGTCGACACGCGCCAAACGCAACACACGCGCACAGCCGTTTAACGCGGTCGATGCTAATGTAGTGTACAGACACAAACACATTTTGATTAGAAAATTGTTCGTGTTTTTCGTCCCGCTGCAAGACTGGCGTCCTTTTTATGTAGCGCGGTCGGTGCTCAAACATACACACACACACAGATTGGGGACCGAATCGGGCAGCAGGCTTTGTAGATCTTCTTTTACGGTGCTCACCCACCGCACGGCAACGAGAGCGACAGCAAGTGGCAGTTGACGCCCCCACCCTCTCCACCACCCCAAATGTGGCGCAGATGAAGAGCTGAAAATGGGCGAATTTTGCACACAGACGCAGCTTGTCAAGAGTTTACTGAGAATTCACACAAGCCGACAAATGGATGAGAAATGCGGGGGGTGCAATACAGATAGCACCCGCACTTGAGAACCTCTACTTTTGGAGGTTGGGGTTCTTGGTTACCTCTCGTGGGCTACGAATGGACATTACTGGTTGTAGTGTAAAACGGGATCTCAGTCGGGCTCACAAAACGGTGCTCAAGTGCTCGATTTAGTTGTTTTTTTTAAGGCTCAAATTCTACATGTCAGTAAGCAAGAGCTAATGGACTACGTATACTCAACCAAGTGCGCCTCGTTTGACACAGGTGTTACAATCCGCAAGTGTTGCACTTTAAACACAGTCAAATCTGTTGAGCGAGACAGTGCACGTCGTTGCCGAGCAATGGTTCGGGAAACATAAACGAAGGTACATCATGTAGAAAGAGAATGCATGACACGCGTATCGTACCGTAGCATGCTTTTGGTGAGTGTGCGGTCGTGGCTATTGTGTCCACTCACCTTGGGTGTGGGAACGTGCACATTGTACACATGATCGAAATGATTTCAGGTATACAAATATATACGCAGTCTATGCACACAGATCAACGATAATAACATAATAACGGTCGTCGTGCACACATGCGCTGTATGCACCTACATAGCGAAACACCTTGTCGGCGATGTAAAATAATACGCGTACCTCCACGCTACTAAACACCCGCACCTCCACACTATACTCAACGCACGACGTACGCTCTATAAGGTCACCTACCTCCACTTGGTCAAAGATCGAGCAGGAAGCTCGCGACACGTCATGCGCTTCACGAAGATTGATGCCAACGGACCGCTGCACACGCGTCCACAGCCCGTCGCGTTCCCATCGCCGGCAGCCTCTACGCGAGAAGAGGACCAGTCCAAAAGGAGCCTGAACGTCACGGAGTGTCTGCCTTCGATGGTGGATGCCTCGTCGACTTTGAAGCGGGTGATCGTTGCTTGTGTAGACCCGTGCTGCTGCTGCTGCTGCTGCTGCTGCGGAAGAACGCTGTTCAACCACGCGACGGAGATCGCATCACCCGAGGGCACTTTCGCGTACGCAGGACACAGAAGCGCCATGCAGGTGTTACGCGTACTAGACTTCCAAGGAAGTCTCGGGTGGAAGGTGTGACACCGGGATGTAGGGCCCTATGTACCAAGCCAATAGACAGCGGGATGCTGCTTTGTGCTGCAGGGTGTTGCATACACCAGAGCCTAACCAAAGGAGGGGGCTCCGTAGAATCTTATAGGCTGTACATGCGCACAAAGCACCAAGCCACTTGTTTTGAACAGAAGGGTCGTGCACACGTGCACACACACATTTGCCCACCAGCCAGCAGACGATGGCCTCGTCATCGGACAGCACAGCATTACCTTCTGCGGGAACCCTGCGCCGAGAGATCTCGACCTTTCTGCGGGCTGCAGCCGATCCGAACGCCCTCACATTCAAACAAGTGAGGACGCGGTGCAATCACGGAGTTTGATTTTTTTTTCTTTTTTCGTAATTTCATCGCCTGGTCATCTCTGCTGTTTGTGGTGGTGCCATTGGTTACTCGCGCAGAGTATCCGCACTAACGCCACCAACTTCTTGTCATCAGGTCCTGCACTCCTGGGATCACGCAGAACAATTCCTTCTGCGGACCATGCCTTGTATCCGTCGTAATCTTTCCCTCTCTCTCTCTCTCTCGGTTTGCTCGGTCTGTATGCAATCTGTATGATGACTGTACATCTACCCTCTAGGTACCTTCTGTGTTCCCCCCTCTGCAACCTGTCCCTCTCGCGAACGCTGGCCCAGGACCTCGAAATATATCATCACAGCAAAGCAATCTTTGTTTTTACGTTTTCCATCTTGTTTCAGTTGACATCATCTCTCACCGCACTACTCTACCAGGAATGGTCTACACGAATTGCTGTGAATATGGAACGGAAAGCAGTGAATTCATTTGTGATACCAAAGCGCTGGACTACAGTCCACCAGCTGACTACAGTGTAGTAGTCGCTGAATTGGAACGGATCCCGTGAGTGATGTCAATCACGCTCACCCAACCACCGTATCTCGAATTTAAATTATACTCAATAACTTGGTCGAACGCAATAGTTGACCATCGGAATACCATTCATACATTCATTGGCAAGTGCCCTACATAGCGCCTATACAACCTAGCGCTTACCGGAACAGCAACCTAGCCGTTACCCCGCTCTTGCGACGCGGCATAAGCTTACACGTAGAGCGACCTAGTGTTTCACCTGCCCTGCCTTAGGTCTACAAGTACCGTCAGCAACCTAGCTTTTCACCGTTCAGCAACCTAGCGCTAACCGCGC